ATTTAGGTACCTATATGGCTATACAAGTACATGTAATTTACCATTAATTTACTCCCTACTCCTTTTCCGTAAACAATGTGATATATTTTGTGATATCATTTCCAGTGGTTCGTTATCTGCAGATATTTAACATAATATTTGAAAAAGGTCTTCCAAAGTGTTTTGTTTCCTTTTAGATGTTATTCCAATATCATTTTATTCTATTTTTGCAATATCGACACTTATTTCCTGTCGCATTTTATAGATTAACTTCCATATCGTTGTATGGTTATACCTTATACCCCACCACGTCATGCTCTCACATATTATTATATTGTTTGTTTGATGTTCTCCATTTTATGCCGATTCATGCACGTTACATAAATCTGGTGGATACAACACTTTTATACGGCGTAGTTTTATACACTCTCTCCCGAATCAACCTTTTTATACGTACTCGTGAGTCGTGACATATATTATGTACAATCAAAGTACTCCAGTAAATCATTAGTTTCTGATGGAACAACAGTTTTTAAATAGTTCATACCTTCATAAATTTTGTGTAATGGTAAAACAGCTAGTCCATCAAACATCCCGCAAAAATGACTAAAACCTATAGGTATTTAATCTACCTATATTTAAATTATTTTTCGGAATTTTTTCCGTTTATTCGGACTTTTTTCCCTAATACCGTAAAAATCATAATATGCACTTTGTGTATTACAAATTAATTTGAAGATTTCGCTAACATTCTTACTTTAAATGCTTATGAAAGAAATATTGAAACTTTGTATTTTCAATACCTATTTTTAATTGGTGTATCGTGAAGGTATTAAGGTATATGAACAACCTATATTTATATTAAAATGTTCCAATAGCTTAAAAATCATATTTYCTAACAAAACCCTCTCTAAAATTTTAAAATCTAATCAATTTTACTGTGCCGAAAGGTGCTAGAATATAAAATGATACTTATACAACTTTAAGTGAGAAAGATTGATGTTTAAATGTTGAAATAAATTCACCCAGTGTCTGGTGTTCCAAGAATGTTTAATTTAGGCTTRTTCAATGTTAAACATCTCAAAAAACAAAAAAGTTGACATTATTATTGTATGTGTAGGTATTGTACCTAGTGTTGTAGGTAGTAGGTACCTATAATACTATTTAGTATTTAGTATTTTTACATTATAAAAAAAAAGTATATAATATTATATTTTAAAGGTTAGTTGGCAATAATGGCGACTAGGTGTGGGGGGGCATCCCAAAATATGTATATTGTATAAATCATGAAAAATGTTTCCTTCGATAAGGAATAAAATTGACTAAGAATAAGTAAGCAGCAGCTGTTTCTCAAATTTGAGATATTTACCTGATTATCAAAAATGCTTAAWTTGTTTTACCATTGATTATAAGGCTAATTTTGTATTTGAAAATCTATAGGTAGTTGAAAATTTGTACCTAAAAATTCCAACTAATTTCAAAATTATTTAAAAAAATAGAGATTCGTTCTCTCCAAGTAGATTAATAAGTAAAAAATATAAATACTACAGGGTTTTATAGGAAAAAATTGGTCCTAGTTGTGCTAATGGTTACTTTGGGAGTCATTATATGGCCAAGGATGATTGAGTTAAATGTGAATAGTAAATGAGTCACCGAGTTGGGTAAGATAAGCATTAGGTATTAAATTATGATGTACAAGTATTTAATAGGTGGTAAATTAAAACAAGTTATTTTTGATATTTTAAATAATACTTACTTTCATGTAATTCTAATATTTTTTGTCCATTATATTTTAATTGTGTAAGTGTCATTGAATCCTTAAGTTTGTTAACTTATCCCACTATTCCCATTTTCTCCTATTAAGTTAAATTTTGATCCCATAGTTAGTTAATTTTATGTAATAACGTATTTGACTAATACATAATTTAATTCATAGTACTAATCTACCTATACAGGGTGATTCTTTTATCAAACAACAATTATATGGTGTTTGTGTGTAAATACTACCTAACATACACCTATAACACACAAACACCACCCAAAACCACCTAAATTTGTGAGGCTGTATCTTGTAAA